ACGGGCGCTTGAGTAACAGGAAGGGAAGGAAAGCCTGGCTTCCAGACTTCCTCCCTTCGGGCGCTTATCACACATCTGCAGTGGTCAGGGTAGGGGTCTGGCTGCCCTTGGCTGGTCATGCTGGAACTGATGGTTCGTTCTGCACACGCAATGTGCAGATGTAGCAGGAGCACAGGAGACCATCTCAGTGAGCTCTCGCTGCCTCTGCAGGAGGGGCAGCACGCCTTCATTTTATGGTTAGAACGGCACAAATTTTCTATCAACCTACCTGAAACATTCCTTTTCCTTTTTTCTTTTTTCTGTTTCCTCAGTTACCATGGAGTTTTCCAATTCTCTTCTGGTTTTTAACAAACGCTTTAGCAATGTAATATATTTATATTTTTTTTTCTCCCTACTCTGGAGAGGACACGTCTGAAGGATTGTTACTGAAACAGGAAGCGTGGGACTATCTGAATCACCCTCGTAGTGAGTCTTTATGACTGTAAGATTGTAAATACAGATTATTTATTAACCCTATTCTACCTGGAATTAGATTGCATATGGCAAATGTTTGCGAGCAGGTAGCTGAGGTGGATCAGCAAAGCTCTCCAAAACCAGTGTGTGGAAAGCCAGCAGAAGTTGCTACTTCTCGGTTCGGGGCTTAGAGTGAATGATTCATGCTCCCTTGGCTTTCCCCCTGAGTTTTCTTTCTTTCCAAGTGGAATTAGGTGACCACCAGCTGCACGAGCTTCTCCTTGTAAAGGAAGCCATGAACACTCTAGGGCTAGTCCACACCACCCTGTGCCTATTCCAGGGAGGAGAAAACATAATCACCTTCCTTTTTTTTCTCTCATTTCCCCAAAAGATACAAAGGTGGAACTTATATACAAATATTACCTCATTTGTTGTGTGACTGAGTAAAGAATTTTGGATCAAGTAGAAAGAGTTTAAGTGTCAATAAACTTAAAACTACTGTCGTGTCTGAAAAGTCAGTGTTGTAGATAGCATGAACATCCTTTGCGGAAGATGATCCCAATAAAGAAATAGCTTTGAAATGTTAAATACAACCTCTCAAGGTTCTGGTTTTGTCCTAACATCTTGTACTCTGTTGCTTTATTTTTATAAATTATTTTCTCATAGCCATTGGAACAGAGATCTCAGACTATGTAGATATGCTATTTAAATAATTTATCAGGAAATACTGTCTGTAGAGTTGGTATTTCTATTTTTATATGTTTGCACACTGAATTGAAGAAATGTCGGTTTTTCTTATTTTGTTTTAGTTTGTTTCTTTGGTTTCGTTTTTGTCTTTGCTTTTGACTCCCCAGTTTTTACTATTTGCCAATACCCCCTTTTTCTAGGAACATGCTTTTTTTTTGTACACATTTTTATCCATTTTACATTCTAAAGCAGTGTAACTTGTATTTTACTGTTTCTTATGTACAAGGAACAACAATAAATCATATGGAAATTTATATTTATACTTTCTGTGTCTGTGTTTATTTTGTTCTTGATTGTCTGGCTATCATGGAGGTATGGGCAAAAGTCATCCTTTAACCAATAGCACAGTTAACCACATATACATTCTTAACCACATATACAGCATGGCAGGAAATAGCATTCATGGTTCCTGTGTGATTGACAGATGCTAGACTCAGAAGACACATTTGCTAGATTTTTGGAAGAAAAAAAAAGCATGAATCTGCCACATGAAAACCTTAAAATAAAAATGACCCTTGAGTCATAGGCCCCAAAGAAAACATTTCGTATTTTATTAATATTAGGTGTCTTATGTTGAATCCTCAAAGTCCAGTTCTGTTTCTAAAAGGAACAGTGATGACAAAGGAAAGGACAGCTGGGAGAATATGTGACTTTTCCTGACCCTAAGTGATGTCACAGGATCACAGAACAGCAGCTCCCAGGGAAGCCTCAGGGAGGAGCTGTCCTGGGACTGAGCCTAGTGCTCCAGATAGTAGTTTGGAGAAAACAGACTTCGGGCACAAACAGAGAACTAAAGGGAGGCAGAGGCAGGCGGATCTCTGTGAGTTCGAGACCAGTCTGGTCTACAAGAGCTAGTTCCAGGACAGGCTCCAAAACCACAGAGAAACCCTGTCTCGAAAAAACCAAAAAAAAAAAAAAAAAAGAATTACAGAGGTGGGGCTAGAGAGATGGCTGAGCAGTTAGCAGAGAGCCGAAGCACAGTGTCCCTTGTGGGCAGCACCGCCATCTCCGGCAACACTAGCCAGGGATCTGAGGCCCTCTTGTCGCCTTTGTGGGCACCTGCACTCACATTTACAAACTACACACACACACACACACACACACACACACACACACACACTCATCATCATCATCATTTTGATCCCTTTGTTACAACACAGCAAATTTTAGAAGGCATGTATGTGGGTGTGAAGTTATTTAGTGAAGACAATGTTATCCTGTTCAACATCTGAGCAGAATCTGAGGCTTGGATGGATTAACCATGGATGTGCAGAGCTGACTAATTTCCAATTCTAATAAACAGATCAATGAAGGGAGAAATACTAGTAGGTGAAAGATGGCTTTGAGGTCTGGGAAACACTAGAACAGATTGGCTGTGGTAAGTGGAGTCTGCTTCCCTGACTGGACCTCTCTAGTCGAAAACCACGGCCTTGGGTGGCGTGAGACAAGGAGGAAGTGCCGCACCTGCCCCACAGGCCCACAGAGAAGTAGTGACAGCTAGCAGATTGCAAAGACCGTGATTGACAGTAACAAGCATCCGAAATGCGGCCTCAGCTCCGCTCAGGTTGCTCCCTATGTGGATTCCTGGAGGAGAACCCTATTTAATTTTTAGCAAAATGTTGCAGCAAAGCTGATGGAGAACACCGGGCTGAGGCAGGGAAAGTGGCCAGGTCGGCGCTGTAGGGCCAGGCTTCTTCCATTTCACTGCAGGAACAACCTTCAAGTCAGTAGGCTATACCAGATTAAAGACTTGTTAAAAACTAGAATTACATCATCTGGATGATAGACTCTGACTCATACGGGAGTTTATTGTCATGTGTTCTAGGACTGTTTGGCTGGAAGGCCATAAACTGGGTCCTGCGGAATTTACAGTCAAAGCGGTGTTGGTGGCTTACAAAAGAGTCCTGTCTAGAAAAACTATACTACAGCCCCTGAATGCCTTCATAAAGTTCCTCTCTCTCTCTCTCTCTCTCTCTCTCTCTCTCTCTCTTTCTCCCCTATAATTTTTATTCTTGTTCTTGTTCTGGAGGAAACGCCCCAGCTTATAGGAAGCCAGAGTGGTGTGGCTTGGTTAGGTTTTAAATCAGGAGACTGCTGTTAGATTACACTGTATAGCTAGCTCATTCAACCTTGCCGCTTTCAGCTGGCATGCTGTGGAAGGGTGTTACTCTTTTTAATTAAAAAGTTCATTACGGAACCTCATTATCTCCTTCCCCTTGCCTAACTCTGGCAATAGCCGGGCTCCTTGTACCTCAAACACCATCTGCAGAAGCTGTCTGTAAAGTCATAAGCCTGTGCAATTTCCATAGAAATGGCTTCCTTTGTGTTTCTCTTTTGGCTTCTCTCTTCTCTCTCCTCTCCTCTCTCTATGTCTCTGCCTCCCCATCATCACCCCCTCTCATACACGCAGCCCAAATACAAGAAAAGCATGGATGTAGGAGGCTTGAGCTCTTCTGAAGGGCTGGTGCGCAATAATAGCTTCCTTCTCTCTGTCCCACTTCCAAGTGCCCCCCCCCCATGCCACCCCTGTCCTCTGATTGTTCCCACCGTACTCTTCAGTACCCAGGAGTGCCACAAAGCATTCTGAGAGAACCCAAGATTGTGATCTCTTTTAATTTTTGCCGGCATCACACAGCAAAAGTCAGGCATTACAATAAACCACACTGCAGTACATGGACATCAGTGTGTGCCGTTGCTATTTTAAATGGGTAAACAATAGGCTAGGGTGTGGCTATGTGGGAGAGTGCTTCTTGGCTAGCATGTGCAAGGCCCTGGGTTCAGTCCCCTGTACCTCAAAATCGACAGAAATGAACCAACAGGAAACTGAAATGGGAAAACAGGACAAAGATAGCCATAGGAATGTTCATGCCCTTGAATAGCTATAGGATTCTTCACCTCAACAAGTCTGGAAAATATATAAGCAATCATTGATGTCAAGCAGGGACAGCAAACAAAAATGACAAAAGCAAACAATGCTGTACATGCAGTAATCCAAACTAAGTCTGGGCTGCGATAAGCTTATTATGAATTAGGAATGAACTAGTCTTACATCTATGAGGCCAACCCAACACACACACGTGGCCGTAAAAGCTTCTCATGAGATCAGATTACTGACCGAGAACTGGATAAACATTCTCTCTTGAAATGGTGATACAGACTTTCTTTTAATAAGGCCCACCTTTATTTCCTGCATGCTAAAAGGCCCACCCTCCAGAAGAATGTAACAAACTGAGAGTAATAAAAAATCCATCACGCTGCAACTTAAGAAAGGTATCATCTAGCTCAGCGGCTAAGAGTTCTGGCTACTCTCCCAGAGAACCCAGGTTCACTCCCAAGCACCCACATGGCAGCTCACACCTGTCTGTAACTCCAGTTCCAGGGGACCCAACACCTTCACACAAACATACACACAGGCAAAATATCAATGTACATAAACTAAAAATGAATCATTTTTCAAATGTATTTTTAAAAAAGAAAGAAAAGAAAGGTATTGTCGCTAACTAGAGCAGACTCAGCAACTTTCCTTTGTTATGGGAATTCATTTCTTCCCAAGGCAAGCTGTACTTGTGGAAAAACAATCAGAACGGCACAGAGAAGGGAAAATGAGGCAGAACAAAAAGCCACAGTGGCCACAATCCACCTGAATCATAAAGAATGGAAACACATAAGCCCAACACAGTGGGCTGGAGATACAGTTTAGTAACAAAACGTTTGCATCCAGATGCACAAGGCCCTGAATTCCATCTCCTGCACTGCCCCCAACAGAATGAAAGAGAGCAATAAACTAGTGTCCTCTAGACTTCACACCACCTGTGTATATGTTACAATGTTGGTTCTTATAGAGTATCCTTGAGATCGTAACATTAGCGATACATTTGTAAACAATTTTCCCAGGAATTTCAATGAATAAAAACCAGCAAACATTTACACCCCAAGTTTCAAAGCTATCAAAAGAATGTAATCAGCAAAGAAGGAATTCAAACGTTGAGATCATTTGGGGAATAGTCTCTATGACGCATTCACTGTTACAAAGAATTCAGGAAAAAAATAGATAACGCCACTTCATTTCCAACTTTCTTAGGCTTAAACCCCAGAAAGTCATGCTTCCCGTTCTTCTGGTTCATCCACAGCATCTCCAGGCTTCTGTGTATCTGCTAATAAAATAACTACAGTGATTATGCAACCAGGAATACACGCATAATTAATAAAAATCACTCAGCCTGTTAAGCATTAAGTCATTCATTCTGCTGTATAATATAATGACCACAGCCTGTTTGCTGATATAGAGTCGTTATCAAAAACTGCAGACGACATCAACAGGGAAAATAAGGTCTCTCTTTTCACTGGGGCTATAGTTCAGAAAACAATTGAGGGTTGAAAAATTGAAGATTTAGGGGAAGACGTAAAAATTACCTTTTAGCTTTCTACGAAGCTTCTGAGGAGTAGGTTGAAGCCAAAAGTAAACGCTGCATGTAGGATTCATGAGGACCCACTGCCTTTTTTTCTCTTAAAAAAGAGGGGGAAAATTGCTCCGCAAATGGAACATAGTTTTCTGTCTTTGATAGAAGGGCTAGCAAAAAAAGGTAGAACCACAATGAAATCAAATAAGAGAAGACAATAAAAAGGGAATCAGGAGAAAGTTGTAGGTTGTGTAGTCAAAAATTGTCTGCCCTCAAAAGGTTACTATAGACCTCGCAATTCCACTCCTTCGTATATGCCCGAGCTCGAGGGAAAACATCACACAAAAAAATGCCCAACAAAACTTCATATTTAAATATTTATATCAGCATTATATGTAATAGCTGAAAGGTGGAAAGGGCCCAAGAACTTATCAATTAATGAACAGATAGATTAAATGGGCTGTATCAATACAAGGGAATATTACTCAAAGTAAAAAGAGCAGAGCAGGGATACATGCTGCAACATGGGTAAATCTGGGGAACACGGTGCTCTGTGTAAAAAGCAAGCACAGAAAGTGTGTGTTATAATGCCATCTTCAGGAAATACTCAGAGCATGCAAACTTACAGAGGTTCAACGTAAAGAACTGTGGTGACATTGTAGTTACAAGGAAGTATCAAACAGGATGTAGAGGGAGCTGGGACAGGTAAGGAAGGGGCTATAGCATCACATTCATGCCCTATGCTTTGTGAATTTGAGTCCTCTTCTGTGCAGTGCTCAAATCTCACCCAGCAAAGGGCTATTCACGCTTGGGGGCTAACCTCTAATCACACCTCCCATCTCCCAGCATCCATTGCTTCTCCTGTAATCTCATCCCAAGTGGTTAAAGAAACAGGAACCAGGAGGGAAATGTGAGTTAAGAGGGAAAGATGAAGAAATGAGCCTGGGGTTGTCAAGCGGCCCAGCAGGCAGAAACACGGGACTGGGGTGGGTGTTAGTTCAAAATCAACCAATCATAGACCTCAAAGGGAATAGACATGGATAGACAGACATTAGATAGATAGATGGATGGATAGATAGATAGATAGATAGATAGATGATAAATAGATAGATAGTAACAGAGAGAATGGATTTTAGAGTAGGCTACATTAGAGATTAAAGCTTAAACTGTTTAAATAGGCTCACAAATTATGACATCAATTTCTGACACAGATAAGTAATTGAATACTTGTTTGTGTTAAAAGCTATTCATAGTGGTTGGCCCTGAGCCATTGCACTATTGTAAAATGCATTATATCTGGAAATGTAAAAGTGGTCTGGGCAGGCATTTTACATCTGAGCATGGTCTTTTACAAACACATTCCCTGAGAGCCAATTTTATTATTAAAGTTTAGAGGCTGAAATCTTTTTAAATTACTTATTGCTATTCAAAACGCTTTCTCTCTGTGTCTAATAATCAACACTGTCTTCAGGATGGCAGAATTACAATGAAGACTCCTGAGCGCGTTAACCACTCCTTACCTCTTTTTTTTTTTTTTTTTTTTTTTTGGTTTTTTCGAGACAGGGTTTCTCTGTGGTTTTGGAGCCTGTCCTGGAACTAGCTCTTGTAGACCAGGCTGTTCTCGAACTCACAGAGATCCGCCTGCCTCTGCCTCCCGAGTGCTGGGATTAAAGGCCTGCGCCACCACCTCTTAAAAACATTTATAAACACGCGCCTAGGCTTGCCCGCTCCTGATGGCAGCGCCTGGGCTGACGTTAGATGCGCGTCATTGCACCCTCCTCTACTTTAGCCCACAGGATCACTGTGTTGAGATGTCTCTGAGAAATGTTCGCAAACCACACGCTCTCCAGCCTACCTACTGCTGCTGGCTCCTCTGGATGAGGCTTTGGCTGTTGGTCTTCTGAAGAGGACTCCACATCGATGGCATCCAGGGCATCCTCCAAGAAAGGGGGCTTTTTCAGTCTCCCAATACCAACGGTCTTTGACATAAAATAGTCCGCTGCATCGCTGAAAGCCTCCTCCTTGGCGAACTGGAGCTCTTTCATGGTCTCTATGTCTGCCATGAGAGCTTCTGCTTTGTAGTGCCCAGCCAAGGCTCTGGTGAGATAGGAGCCCACGGCAGGTCCACACCCCTCGTCCTCAAGCCTGTTTGCATCATCTAGCGGGGATTTCTGGACCTCGACTTCGGACTCATCTGGTAATCCGCAGGGGGTGGATGGGCAAAGCTGGGGAGGTTCAGGAGCTGCATCAACGTCTTTGTTTTCCCCTCCAGAAGAAAGGGCAAGAGGGATGCATTTCTGTTGGGATACACAATCCTCCAGAAGACACTTCAGCTGCTCCTCGGAGAGACGTGTGTTCAGCTGAGGAGACAGATCAGAAGTTTTCACGGTCAATTGGCTGATTGAACGTGTTTATCCTGGGTAAGCATCCAGGAATACAGTGGAACTTCAAGTGTCAGGAAAACACACACCCAACACGTGCAAACAGGAAGCAAAGTTGTTCTGAAGTCTTTCCAGCTGCAGGAGGCTAGACAGTAATGTCCAGAATAAATTCAGAATCAATTGTACAGAGCAGTCTGGAGGATGAACTCATACAACACTGATTTTAGAAAAACGAACCACTAGCACCCTCCACACACGGAGAAACAACTGGAGCTGAAGAAAAAGCACCTTCCATTGGGTCACACGGAAAGGAATCCTTCCATGACTTCCTGTCGGAATTCCTCTGTCTCCACCCAGTCCTCGGGGAAGACCGCATGCCACTCAATTCTGAAACTGGGGGAAACCATGACCAAAGGCACCGCCATCACCCCCACCTCCACCCCCGGGATTCACCATTCACGTGTCTGTCCACTGCTTTCAGTAGACAATACTGTCGAGGACAGAAGAGGAAGGCTGAAGGTGTGGACCATCCTGAGTTGTGCGGTTGCTTCCAAGTGACAGGCCTCGGCAGAGGCCAGGGGCATTCCCAGAGCAGCGTATCCGGGAAGAAAGATTTGATCACACATATTCAGTCTCCACTTGTAAATACTATCCAGGGATGAGTGTTTTAAACAAGACATGAATTTAAAAACCCTTTTTCCTGTACTGTCATGTGCAGAGACTTGAACCCAGGACTCTGCACACGGTAGGCAAGCATTCTGCCAACTGAGTTACGGAGTGGCTGGTGTGTGTTGACAATATGTGTGACATTCTCTAAAAACAAATGTGATTGACATTAAAACCCCGCAGTTTTCTTCCAGTGATGTTCTGAGGAAACACAAAACTGAACCTGTTCAGAAAGGAATGACTTCCTTCACTGAAACACAATGAAAAAGTGCCCTCCTCCAGTAAGTCGGCATTCAGAGATGCGGAAGAAAACACTAACTAATACGCCTACCTAACAACAAGCAGGCCCCATAAGAAAGCTTACTCATCAATCCCAACGGCCATAACTTCTACCTCAGCAATGCTCTTCGCCTGCTGTGAATATCCGCAAAGAAGGAATGAGATATGAAGGTCAGTGGGGAAGTACCTAACTACTGTGTACAAGGCCCTGAATTCAATCCCCAGTAACACACACACACACCCCAAAACCAGAAGAAGCAGCTAAAATTCTGTATATGCTGTATAGGCACATGTACAGTACTGGTTGGTCTCGCCATTATTAGAACAAGCATAATTGACTCCTTACTCTCCCCTACCCTTTCTCAGGCAACTAACAAGCAGTAGAGTAGACAAGTTTTATATCATGCTTTTAAAATAGATCATATTTTTTCCAAATTACATTGATCTAATCTGTAAAACTCAGTCACTCAAGGCATGGTTATGCACAACTTTAATCCCAGCACTCAGGATGACAGAAGCAGGTGGATCTCTATGAGTCCAAGGCCAGTTTGATCTACATAGTGAGTTCCAGGCCAGTCAGCATTGCAACCCTGTCTCAAACGAAAAATTTTTTTTAAGAAAATAAAAAGTCAGTGGCAACCACTGTGAGTTTGACAATAATAAGAAATTGTCTAGAAATGTTTTCATAGGGATAATCTGGAATACAATTCAGATAGCTTAACCTGAAGTCAATATACATGTGAAGAAATAGGAGTTGAAGTATAATATAGCAAATCATACTTTTAATAAATAACTTCCAGAATCCAGATGTGGTATTAGTCCTATTTTCAGGGCATCTCCTTCACCCTACTATACAAACCTAATTAACTAGACAGCAAAGGCAGTCCTCATACAGCAGTAAGGGCTTATAATACACCTTCCAGTGCTGCTTACGTGAAACGTTCACAAGGAGGGGACTGACAGCTGGTTTAGAAAGAAGGCACTACATAAACACCCACTACATAAACACCCTTATCAGACGTTTGTCCTTATGAAGTTGTCAGACAACAGAACAACTGGCCCCAGTTGGAGCAAGAGAATAAAGGACTATGGAAGTCGGGTCTCCGAGGAGCAGGTGGGAGGGGGAACTGGCAAGGAATCGTCTAGGTTTGGCTGTTTCCAAGAGCAACACTGATAGATTAGAAGCTTGGAAATTCTGACGATGACTTTGGCTAGCTACCCAGAAGAGTAAAGCAATTATGAACTCTGAGAGGAGAGCAAAATATTTTATGAAAATGAGGGGTGCAGAGTCAAACACATACAGAGGATGGGGAAGAGGGAGAACCAGGCAAAAGAAAAGTGATTTTTATCTGTAGGACAAACAAAGACCTTGGAAATGGAGAACCGAAGATGAGCTTTCAACTAACTCCTCTGAAATGGTTTTTTATAAGCAACTGTTTTTTTAAAAAGAGATAAAGGGCGGAGGTGCCACTGGGGGGTAGGGAGTATACATCACGTGCAGGGGGCAGGGAGTATACGTCACGTGCAGGCTCTGGATTCAGTCCGCAGTGCCACCAAAATGCAAAGAAAAACATACAAAAACCAGTGCAGACTACACTTCCCTGTTAACACAGGAGAGTAGCTGACTATGGGTGCAAAAACAATTTTAAAAATAAAACTTGTATTCTTTAGCCTCTCCACAATACAGTGGTGAACTGTTATCATTTTTCTCCCAAAATCATTACCAGCAGAAGTGAGTCAAATACAGTAATCTTGAAATTTTAAGTTTAGCCCAGTGTTTCTGGGTGCCAGTGTAAATCAGAAAATGCCATGCGAGCCACTTATCCCATCTCGTGGTTCCCAATAGAGCCTTCCCCATGGAAAACTCAATAAATGGCTATGGTAGAAATCAATTAAGTGAAGGAGGCCCAGAGTGTTCTGGAAAGTACTTAGCTGCTCACGGATGCTAGGCTGGACTACACTCGGGCTCTATACTGCCATCCCTGACTATGACGGCCAAGGCTTCGTCGAGATTGCTCATGACACCCCTGAGTTAGCAAGCTCCATGACTAAGCCATTCCGTGTAAGAAGTCTAGGAACCTGGTCAAGCACTCACCTCCAAGAATCCACTGTCCACGACAGCTGATTTCCACACTTGTCATGAACCAGCTACTCTTGTCATCCCTGCATCCAGCGCATCTAGGCATGATCCCGCTGCTGCCGAGAGCAAAAGCCCCTCTTCCCTTCTTCATTTCAGTTGCCCCTTTTAAAGTCCTCTTTCCTTCTATTTTTTAAAGGTTTTGTAAAAGTATGTATGTACTTTGAGGATATTTCCCATGCGGCTCCTTCTCTCTCCTTCCTATTAGCCCCTTTGCTCCCCTAAGCAGTTTGACTTCTACTTTTATATCATTGCTGTGTGTGTGTGTGTGTGTGTGTGTGTGTGTGTGTGTGTGTAAGAGTCACAGTTAGAGAAAATCAACCAATAGTTGTCTTTCTGAGACGGGCTTAATTCACTTCATACAATTATCTCCAGTTGCATCCACTTTCCTTCCAACAATACAGCTTCGTTCTTTATGAGTTTTTTTTTTTAAATTACCCACTGCCAAGTTGTTGGACAACTAGGTTGGCTCCATAACTTAGCTACTGTGAACAATACTATAATAATCACTGCTGTGTAAATATCTCTGTAATACAGTAACTTGGATTCCTCCCGTTAAATACCCAGGAATGATGTGGCTGAGTCATACGGCATATCTACTCTGAGAAACCTCCATGCCGACTCTCACAGTGGCTACAACAATTCAGATCTCCACCAGCAATACATAAGGTTCTCTTATGTCCACATCCGCCAGCATGTGCTGTTGCTTATTTTCTTGATGTCTGCCATCCTGGTGGGGTAAGATGGAATCTCGGTGCCATTTTTATTTGTGTTCCTCTGAAGCTGCGTATTAGTGAGAGAGAACATTTGTTCGTGTTTGTTGTGTTTCATCTTCTGAGAACTGTCTGTTCAATTCCCTAGCCCATCTGTTGGCTGGGTTGTTTGATTTTGTTGTTGTTGTTGTTCAACTTCTGGGGTTCTTTGTGTGTTCTAGATATTAACGCTCTGTCAAGTGTGCAGCTACAGAAGAATCCTCGCCGTTCTGTGGGCTGCCTCTTCTCTCAATGTTTTCCTTTGCTACACAGCTTTTCATTTCAGGGGCTGAGCAACTAGAGCCCTGACGAGAAAGCACTTGCCTGTGCCAATATCTTGAACTATTTTCTCCGCTGTTTTCCCCTTGCAGCTTCGGGACTTAAATTAAGGCACTAGATTCTTTTAGAATTGAATTTCATGCAGGGTAGGAGACGGACAGGATATAGTTTTATTCTTCCCCATGTGGCTGTCCGGTCTGGTCCCAGTTAGTATAATGTTGACTACAGGTTTGTCATGGATATCCTTTATCTTGAAATGCATTCCTTCTCTTTCTTGTCTCTTTGGGACTTTTGTCACAAAAAATTACTGGATCTTTGACAAGAAGCCCTTCAACATACATCTCAATGGTCATGTGATTTACTTCGTATGATTTCTATGACATATTACATTTATTGATTTGCATGTGTTACCCACCCTTGCATCTCTGGGATGAAAGCAGCATACTGTGGTGAATGGCACTTTTGATGAGTTCTTGAATTTGGTTTGCTGGCATTTTACTGGTGATTCTTACATCTGTGTGCTCCATGGAATGATGAAACTCTGCTCACAAAGTCAGCATCCTCCTGCTACCACTGGTCCACACCTTTGCTTGTTGTCGTGTCTTTGTCTGCTCGTGGTATCAGGAGGATGCTGGCTTTGTGAGCAGAATTTGGCAGCACTCCATCTTTCACTGTTTCACAGAGTAATTTGAGGATGATTGACGTCAGTTCACCTTTAATAGTCTGGTAGGATCCATCAGCAAATTTCTTTGGTCCTTCCCTTTGTCTAGGTGGGAAATTTTATATTGCTGTTTCAATCTCATTGCTTGTTACAAGTCTGATAATATTTATCTCATATTTTGGATTTAACAGCTTAGTGCATTATA